TTTTTAGGGGGGTCCAAACATTCAATAGCAAATGAATTCCCTATCAATTGCTACAAGTGCATGATGTATACTACCAGTAGTTATATGCTACTTAAACATTATAAACATTTTTAAAAGTAAATTAGATGATAAGGAGAGAAAGGTGTTCTAAATCATGTTAAAAGATTTATAGCATAATCTGCTAGGTACATTCTTTTAGACTAATCTCAAAGTCCCATAACAGTTTCAATGGTTATCCTCTTTGAAGCATTTCATCTTCATATAAGTTAAAAGAGTTTACAAATACAGCTCTTTCAACACTCACGTTCTGTCACAGTTGCTTAACCGTACATATCATAATCCTCTTATTTTGAAAAAGTACACATGCAACCAAAAGAATCCATTTGTTATGTTCACCCATTTCATTCTACATATTATTTGGCTATCTCATCAACTTTTTTGTTATGTTCACCTTATGTTCACTCATTTCATTCTACATATTATTTGGCTATCTCATCAACTTTCCTGCACTAAATAAACCTTCCCTTCTCTCCCATAAAAGACTTTGTACTTTATTGCTCTATCAACGACAGTCATAAATGTTGCATCTCAAATCTTTTGGTGGATAGTGACCAACTCATATTTCCGTGCTCCTTCTCTGTCGAAGACTACCTCCGTTAGATTAGCAATCACCTTACATGTTTCAATGCTCGGTTCATTTCATCTAATCTAAACATTTCGTATTTGTAAGTTTGCTAATATTTATTCACATCCATTAGTAACCATGCATGCAATTTTACTAATCAAGCAAAGGAAAAACATAGCTACACTACAAAGCACATCTAATATTTACAGAGACAGACAGTAATTCCATAGCCAATCAAGTTAAGGTATTCCTAACGCAAACCTAATCACTTTTTCCCACATTTTTTCTGCCTTCACAAACAAGAGCCTTCAAGCTCTCAAATTGAAGTAACCATTCGCCAGTAAATAGTAGTAAAATAAACTTCAGAAAAGAATTGCAAACCCCAAAAGACTTGATTTTGCCCAAAATCATCACCTTCAGTTTTCAATTCTCTTCTTAAATCAATTCATAGCCTTCACTCCACTAAACTATCCAACTAAATTGGAAACTAATTGAATTAACCGGAGCGATATCGACCAAACAGCAAGTACCTTAGCAGGGACGCCATTTCCATCCCTCCAACGCCGGAGAATTGGAGAGAACCCCCCAAACTGACGCTCGCCACCGTCTCGGTTCGCCGGAAAAGGACTGAAACCCTACCGAAGACTCATTGCCGTCGCCAGCTAGGGTTTGTTCGTGATCTTAACCGATGCCCAAATTTTGAGAAGTAAGGAGATGATAGCAGAGGGGTGTGGTGATGACGAGGATAATAATACTCATCGTCGACAATTAATGATTTAAGAAAGTGGGAACCGACGGGGTGGAAAATGAAAGGAACAAAGGGGCTCCCGATTTATTAACCATGTGAAACAATTAGAAGCTATAAATTTGCTATATTTACAATATTTGAAGGGTATTTTAGGAAAGAGAAAGTTTTTCTAGAACTCCCTCTTTTAAAGGGTAGATAGATTTACATGTTAAGGGATTGAATAAAAGTATTCATTTTCCATGTAAGTATTCTTATGCTACCTACTCTAAATTATATTTATTTGCCATGTAAGTATTCTCATGCTAACTACTCTAAATTAATGTTAGTATCTGCTTTAATACAATGCTTATATTTTACATGGATGGTGATCAGTATTAGTTTCAGCCGTGGATAGCTTCAGTGTTGGTTTTAATCTTGGCTTCGGTCATGTAAGAACTTAGTCCAATAGTGCTCAGTTTCTGCTACAAATAGATTTTGTTCTTGGTTTATATTTATAGTCTATGACAGTAGATTTGCAAATGAAAATTTTCTATTCCTAATGCTTGGTTCAAGCTATTTCGACTATTGGTTCCTGGTTACGTGTGGCAGCTATATCATTTGGTTTAATAGTATCACTTGAGCATTAGATTCCCTTGAGCATCGGCTTTCATTAAATTTTAGAATTTGCATTTACAAAGCTGATTTTAGGTTTAAGGTTATGATTATCTGTTATTAGTTGGTTGAAATGGTTGTTATGACATTGGTTATATAATATTGTGCTATGATGATGGTCTTTTTTTAATGCATGCAACCAAAGTTTATACTAGTAATCTATTGACGAGGCAATATATGCAGCCAACATTGCTATTATAGATTTCATGGCAAGGCATACTATGATGATATCGACAAAAATTGAGCATAACAGAACCTTTTTTCTCTAGTAGTTGGGGTTCATATTATGCCCTCAAAGTTAAAATTAGTCCCCTAAATCTTTAAAGTTTTTGAAATTTCTCCCTCAAATGTTCGTATGTGAACGTTTTGCAAATTACTACCTCAAATCTTTAAATATTTTTGCAAATAGTCCCTCACATCTTTAAATCTTTTGAAATTTCTCCCTCAAATGTTCATATTTGAAATTAGCCCCTCAAATCTTTAAATATTTTACAAATTACTACCTCAATCTCTAAATATTTTTTCAAATTAGTCCCTCAAATCTTTAAGCATTTTTGTGTGATTATAAGTATGTTGACCCCCTCAATTTTTATTGCCGACAATTTATCCTATATGGGTGGTAAGCACACCATGGTGACTACAGCCATAGTTTCTTCTTTTTTTATTTGAACCAAACACTAGAAAATGAGGGAATCTATTAACACATCAATTGCTTTTTTCTTTTTTCAAGTTGAATCAAACTAAGAAAAATGGTGGAAATTACTTTTACCCCATGTTTTTTGGCGAAACAAATACAAAAAAATATTTTGCATGAAAGTGAAGAAAGCACTAAAAAGTGAAGGAAACATGTTTTGAAAAAATGATGGAAAGCAAACAAACAGACCCTAAGAAGCATCAAAGCTAAGAATCAATCATGGCCCAGCAAGGACAATGTGGATCACAGTAGTAACTACTGTGGAGAAATACTTGTTTAAGATTTATGTAGATTATGAAATCATAGAATGCCATCGGAAAATTAATAGACAAAATGCTACTGAGACATGACCAGAAAAAGATTGGATGAAATAAGATCCCACTCAAGATAATTATGTTTTTCTTTGTTCAGTTGAGAAAATAAAATAAAAGCTAGAAATGGGGGAAGCAAATTATTTTCATACTAACTTTTTTTTTAAATCTTGCATGGGCAATTAAAAAAAAGAACAAGGAAACTCTGTAGTATCCTTCAAAATATATAGCTCGTCTCCATGCTTCGCTTTGCCATCCATCCATCCATTAACTTCTATCCTCACTTTTTAATGGATTTATTTATTATAATCTATCGTATTTTTGCAACTTAAATTTGAAATTTTGAAAATGTGTGTTTTACCAATTAGAACGCCATTAGTAAAGTTGATTGTTGACATGCCGTGAGCTAATAGTACATGAATTAGCTCCTCAACATCTACTTACGTTATCAGGGGTCGATCTAACAACTAGAATCCTGAAATTAATTCTTAAAAACTAAGTATTTCTCAATCAGTCAAACATAGGCAAAAATACCAAATTGGTATATTTTATTTACGCTTAGTGACAATTTGACATATATTTTTTCCCGACGACCTATTGATATATTATTTGTTCTCCGACGACATATTTGGTATATTATTTGTTCTCCGGCGACAAATGGACCTTAAATTTGGTCAGACTCAAATTTTTGGCAAAATTTTTCACGTGACGCCACACGTGATGCGAACGAGGCTGCCAACGTAGCTCCAGCAACAAATAATTGCAACTAATCCCATCCAAAACCATCACATTCTCCCTAAAAAAACCTAGAAATCAAGGTATTAAAGCTCACCACATTGCGAGTCGAGGGAGGATTTGAAGAGGTTGATAGTCTGGGAGACATTGGCGAGGCAAGAGGAGCAGAGGAGGGAGGAGAGGGAGAGGTGTGGGGGGGGGGGGTTAGGGTTTGGGATTGGAGCTGATTTATGACGCTGGAAGCCACACTGGCAGTCACGTTCGCACCACGTGAAGCATCACGTGAGAAATTTCACCGGAAATTAGGGTACGACCAAATTTGAGGCTCATTTGTCGCCGGAGAAAAAATAATATACCAATATGTCGCCGAAAAAAATATATATACCAAACTGTCACTAATGGTAAACAAAATATACTAATTTGCACTGTTATAAATAGCGGTAAATAGCCCCGCAATAGCGGCACTAATAGAGTTAACGGTCCCTTTCCACGACGCTATCGCCCGCTACGCTATCGCGCAATAGCGGTGACATATTGCAGAATATGTCTGTTCGCAAAAGCCGTCAATAACGTGTCATAACGATAAATAGTGAGCGATTGCATTCGAAATTTGCTTTTTGACTGCTATTTAAAAACGGTTTGAGGCTTATCTTTTTAAAATTAAACTCAATCCTGACTATTGCATTTCACCGTCTCCTGTGATTTTTAGCATACTCCCGCCACCTCTCATAGCCTCTGGCACCTACCTTGATACTTCCTCTCACCTCCTTCACCGTGAGCTCCTCTTAGGGCAGTCCTGTCACCGCTAAGCTCTTCTTCTCAAAGAAGACGACTTTTTGACTACTCCAGTCATCTTCGGTATTACGTGATGGTTACATGCCTATTTCATGTTTAGGATCTCTTTAAATCATCCAATATGTACTTTTAGATTTCTTAGATTTTTTTTAAAATTTTTTTTAGTATTTATACATATCTAAATTAGACCGCTATTTGACTTTGCGCTTTTTACCATTATTTTGCTGTAATAACCCGAAATAGCCTTAGTGATGCCTCACCGCTACGCGACGCTATCCGCTATGGATAAGCTTGCTAATTTGGTATTTTTGCCATCAAACATATGATTAAGCCAAAATGAAATCAAACCTTTTTTATGATGTTATTCAGGGAACCAAACTTCTGCCTGCTGAAAGATCATTACTTTATTAATATTTCTGAAGGACAGGCACGCGTAAAATGTAAATCTACAGTGATTTAAATTTTATTCAGATCATCAATTGTACAAATATGAAATTTATCTAGGTGCAAAGGACATGGCCTCCAACTAGGGCTGTAAAATACAATATGTTGTATTGAATAGTCATATCTTCCGGAATACAAATCCGATCATAACCCCCTTTGTAAGTGGGGTAGTTCGAACTATAAATAGAATAGTCAATTTCCAAACTAACTCTTTACACCCCACCCCGGCCAATGGCTCAAAACACCCTATTTGTGCACGGGTGTTCCGATTGCACTCCATATACTTATCTTTGTTTGAACACTAATTGGTCTCCTGTTGCGCAGCCCAAGGAAGCATTTCTTGCATATATAGATCCCATGAAACAAAGCATAATGTCAAAAACACATTTGCTCCTCTTTTTACTCTCTAAAAAAATGTGTGTTCTACTTTGCAGATAACTGCCTAGATCAACATTTCAAGAGCCCGCAAAACTGCTACTACATCCTGAAATCTGTGCGAGGATGATAATAAGGGAGCACAAACACCATCGTTTGAGCAGTCTTTTAAGGATCAATTCCCTCTGTTCATCGAGGATCTTGAGTATTGGGGGCTCCAACCTGTTGTAGGAATAAAATCATGGGAAAAAAACCCAAGCCAGCGATCAACTGGCGCCAAAAAAAAAACACAGACAGTCCATATAGAAAATCATGTCGGGACATGGCAGAATTTGAAACATGCATGTCTCCCGACGCAAATATTTACTGGTGCTTAATAATAACTATACTTAAAATATTTACTGGAACGTGTATTGCTTCCTTCTTTTCTAACTAATGCATGGTGACATGAACTGAACAAGTGAACACAGTGAAAAAGATCCTACAGAATGCTAGGAAGGGAGAACGTTAAAGCTATATGATATTAGAAAAACATGGAAATGGTCAAAACATTTTCACCAAGAAACTGTTCTTTTCGTTTTCTCTTTTTTTGCGACCCTTCTTCCACTCACGAACTTTTAAAAAATAGAACACCAGTATAGGGCAAATTTATTGACCAACTATATAAATTCATTCCAATAGACATACAGAAGTTACCTCAAACAAAGTCACCAAATACTCTAGATGGTAGCCAAAAGATTGTTAGTCCAGGTTCCATCAACCTTTACTTGAACAACTGCAGAAAGCAAACATGAACTCGTCATTCATAAAAAAAATGCTTTTGAATAGAACCCTATTGAGCAACTAATGAAGCACCTTAAATCATATTGCAACAGAAGGCTTTTGTGGTCCATCAAGTTTGAAAGCTTTCCACAAACAGATATCAACCTATCATCAACTCATAGAGAACAAATATCATCAATCAATAAAACCTTATAAATCAGTAGGTAATTCACTTAATGCAATTGAAGGCAACTTTTATTTACTTACAATGTGCAAATTAGGATGGACTAATCAAAACAACGCCTAGTTTTCCAAGCATGAATAGGATGCCACTATTAACTTTACAAGTACCAGAGAGTCTTTCCATCACCCTAAAGCTGCAGCAGATTTATGTTGCCTCCTCATAAATTTCTGTGTGCGTAATCTTGTTGGCCTCCTTGCTCTGGTGGCTCCTCTTTTGTTCAACTTTTCCATCTTTTCTTTCTTACCTTCTATATCACGTGTAATGACTTTGTCTCTGCTCTCAGAAGACAATAGAGCCAATCTAGCAAACTTCTTTGGCCTCACTTTTCCCAGCCTTTCAAGTATATCTTTAAATGCTGGAACTAGAGTGGCCCTCATAAAATATCCTTCAGTTAGCATCATCGAGTTTGATTTGGGAAGATTTGGAGCGTCTTTTAACTCAAGGTCCATACAGAAAGAAGAATCCTTCAGCCACATCCTAAGGGAATGAGCTTTGGCCACAAGAACACCACTACGCGTTTTGCATGGAAGAAAAGGTGATCCCATTTCCCATAGATATGCTTTTATAGTGTTGTCTAATGAAACCATGTTATATTCAGCAGTTCCTGTAATGAGGGCAACGGACTTCTGAGATTCAGGTGAACCCTGTAATGAAGCATCCTGTTGCAAAAGAAATGTTATAACCATGGTTAAATGAGTTATTGTACAAACTGCAATGTAGAATTCAACAATATGCTAAACATTCATAATTATGGACAAGTAAAGATCAAATGGCCAACAAGATATTCACATAACGAGATATCGCCACCATATTTTCAAGTTTCAACTAACAAAAGTAAATGAATCAAGGTCTTCTACATCAACATAACAAGGAGAAGAAAGAATAATGTATAGTAATGTTATAATCACAAAAGAATATCAATCGAATAGAAAAACTGAGCAGGAAGCATACCTGCATGTTGTCCAGCCATAAGGTAAGACCAACAAGAGCAGCACCAGCCGATAGCTTTCTGAAATCAGCTCCCCAGTCTTTATCTGCAACACTGCATATTTCCATAGGTTATCAAATGTCAAATATAAATAAAATAAGCTAATTTCAGTATAAAAAATAATATTTAGTTGACAAAATGAAATGAATCCTTTAGAGTGCAACAGAAGGATAAACCTGACAAAAGTCCAGAGAGATAACTATATGCTAACTTTTACAGGTTGAAGTGACATATTGCCATCAGATTTTAGAAAGCTATTGCATAATGTGAAATAAGACCACCATTTCTCTCTAACATAACAACAAAGTATTACCTTTATCCTATCAACTTAGCCTATTTAATTTATTAAAAGGAACAGTATTTTAGTCCTCAAACCAAGAACTAGCAAGAAGAGAGCATGCCTAAACACATAAAGACTGGTTGTCGATCCGGGATCTTTCTCTAGTCTACAATAACCTTATGAAGCTTCTAGATCCCTTCTGTCTCTAAGTTTAAACTAAGAAATGACAGGTTAAAAGGCTGGTCACTGGTCTAAGATACCACTTTTGATTCCCCCTCAAGTATTACCTTTTTATAAACTCCTTTTAAAAGTATGTGATAGATTAGAGACATATATAAACAAACGTAACAGATGATATAATTTATACAGGTATAACAAAGGAATCACAAGACAAAAAAATTGTTTGATAGATTTTCTAGTTATGAGTGAATACCGGAACACATCATGACGATATATGCCTTTCCTGATTGCTAGTTGAAAAACCCATGAAGCAGTGGCTCGATGCTCAAATGCCCACAACAGGTCTTCTAATGCATTGACAAAATTAAAGGCGGCATTATCTTCCTCTGGGCTTAGTTTGTCAAGCAAGTTGTCCAGCTCCGTAAATAGAGACTCAGGCTTCTCAGTCAAAAGCCTGGAGGGAGTACAGATAATTAGGACGAATGAAATATAATCTTCAAAAACAATTAAGTAACACACAACAAAATTCTGCTGAAGGACCAATGTTACATTAAACGCTGGGCGCTTCTAGGCGTCGGACTTGGCGCCCAGCGCTTAGTCGCCTAGGCGGACGCTTAAGCGGTTTCTGGGCGTTTTTTTCTTACTTCATTTAAGTGGTGGTCGATGAGGTTTTGCTGAAGGTCGGAGGAGGTAGTGGAGGTGTTCATATTTGAAGGTTAATGGAGTTTGGAGGACGTGTAGGCTACGACACATAAAATCACAATCAATGCCTACAGAGTGCAATCCACGTAAGCAGACAATGCTCCCCTAAACGCTCGTAAAATCTAGGTGGGCATCCTAAATACCGCTTAGAAGCTAGGCGCTAGTTAGGCGGCCTAGGTACCGCCTAGGCCTAGGCGTACGCCTAAGCGGACTAGGCGGAGGTTTTTTAAAACAGTGTGAAGGACAATAGGAGACAAACTCTGTTAAATACTAACCATGCTTGATATACTATTAGCCCAAAGCGAATGAGCTAACATTTTTTATGAAGTGGATTCCTAACATGGTAGCAAAAGACCACCATTTTGAAGAGAGCCTTTTGGTGAAGTCTTATAACTAAATCTAAAACATGTTTACTTACCATATATTCTGCATTCTACTTGCCTGGTAGGTCATGTGAGATCGAGTTTTTAAGCATTAAGCTTGCTTATATTGTTAACACACAAAACATGAGCTTGAGCTCTTGGGCAAACTGGTTTGCCTAATAAATTCAAATATTTCAAGGCAATCATTGTACCTGAGAGGGAGGTCAAACCCAATGTCATGCAGGCAGTTCAGAAGGCTAATTGCATCTTCTGTTTCTTGGCAGAAACTTGCAGCCCTGACAAAACATGTCCATATTCTATGATCTGGTGCAACACCATCTCTATTCATCTCGAACAGCTTTGTAATTCCCATTTTATATTCTTTATTCTTGAAATAAGCATCAATAACAGCACTGTAAACCAACGTAGTAAGATTCTGGCCAGAAACTTTTAAGGTGTTAAGCACATCTTCAGCTTGCTGAGGTTGCCCACCATCACCGTAAGAAATCAGAAGCATGTGCATCGTAGCAACTGTTGGTTCAATCCCATCTTCTTTCATCAGAAGAAGCAAGTTTTCAGCTTTCAAATGATTGCCAGAGTTTCTATACATTTTCATCATAATATGATAGAATGACCTGTCTAATCTACATCCTTTTGATCGCATGCTACCAAAAAGCTCTTCAGCCTGTTCTAATAGCTTTTCCCTCCCACATGCAGCCAATAAGCTCTTGTAGGAATCTAACTTAGGCTCTATACCCTTTTTTTTCATCTCGTTTAAAAGAGTGAAACCTTCTTCAGGCCTCAAATCCCTGCTGTACATTACTATAAGAGTATTATAAGTATCCTCATCTGCTTCAAGCCCAGCTTCCTGAATGCTTCGAAATATCTCAATAGTTTTCTTAAAATCCCCAATTCCTGTGTACATCTTAAGGAGAGAGTTAAAGATAACAAGATCTGGTTTGAATCCAGCTTCTTTCATCTCATCAACCATCAACTCCACATCTCTAACCCTTTTCCCACGAGAGAGCAAACCAATCATACTTCGGTACAGATGCATTGTGGGCAAATATCCAGCAGCCTTCATACCATGGTATATCTTCTTTACCTCAAATATGTTGCCATTTCTTGCAAAAGCATCAAGCATCATGAGAATAGTGCTCTTGCTTATCTTAAAATCCATATCTTGTAACTCTTCAACAAGTACATATATCTCCTCTAACCTTCCATCAACAATCAACGCTTTCACAAGACCATTAACAGAATCCACTGACGGTTGAGGACCATTCTTCGTCATCAAACTGAAGATTGCTCTTGCTTGCTCATAAAGACCACTCTCTGCATAAGCACATATAAGAGCATTCCATATCTTCCTATCAACAACTGAGCGCAATCTGAGCTTCCCAACAAATCTTTCAGCCCTCTGCCACAGCTTTAGCCTCCCATAAGTCTCAATCACACCGACATAAACTGAAACATCATCAAACAAAATGCCGGCCATTTCAGCCTCATCTATCAAGTTATGAGCTGTTTCAGGAAAACCCATATTACAATAAGCTGTGGTCATATTTTGATATATGCTTCGAGAAGGTTTAAGGCCAAATAACTTCATGTCAGAGAACACCTGCGAAGCTTCAGAAAATAACTCCCTTTCAAGACAGCAATTAATCAGAAGCTCATACAAGTTACAACCGAAAGTTTCAGAACCATAACACATTGTCTTATTATACTCCTCTAAAGCAGTTTCCAGTTGGTTAGTTTTGCAAAGCATCGCTATTGAAGATTGGGAAACTAAACGATATGATTCTGGTGAATGTTTGCTCATAAAATCAAGCAAGGACCGAGCTTCTTCATGCTTCTCTGACAAGGAATAAGAACTCAAAACAGCTACCAAGTTTTCACTATCAAGTTCATAACCTTGTATAATTGCCTTTCTCAACATCTCATCACCAATAGCAATGCACTCTCCCTTGACAAGAATTGACGAAATCACTTGTGGATTCATCCCACATACCTCATCCATGTCCTTAACCACCTGAGTTATCTCCTCATCCTTCTTCCCCTTAACAAGAGCCTCAAGCAAGACTTGGTACATCCCAGCATCAGGGTAGAACCCATCCCTCATCATTCTCCGGTACAAAACCATCGCCTTCCTAGTCTCATCACACCTCAACATAATATCCAACATGACAGAATAAGCCAAATTATCCGGCTTGATCCCCGACCTCACCATAAGATCAAAAGTCCTCTCTGCCCCCGCTCTCATCCCCACCTTAGCATACCCACATATCAAAGCACTGAAGGTTCTCAATGTCGGCCTCACCTGAGCCTGCACCATCTCCTCCATCACCTTCCCGGCCTCAGAAATCCTATCAGACTTCCCCAGCGAATCAATCAACACAGTGTAAGTCACTGCATCAGGCTTACACCCTGCCTCTTTCATTTCCCCATACAATTCCAATGCAAAATTAACATCACCTCTCTTACCATACATATGAATAATCGTATTATACGTTATCTCATCCTTCCCAAACCCTGAACTAATCATATCATCACAAACCCTTCTAACCTTATCAACATCCCCTTCTACCGCATAAGCATACAAAAGGGAATTATAAGTAACCGCATCCGGTGAAAACCCCTTCTCACCCAACTCCAAGAAAACCCTCTCAGCCTCAGGAACCAACCCACACCTCCCATAAACCGAAACCATAGCATTATAAGTCCACAAGTCAGGACAACACTTAGACTCCTCCATAGCCCTAAAAACCTGAACTGCGTCCTCAAGATTTGAACTATAAGCACAAGCGCTAATCAGGGTATTATAAGTTATAGCATCCGGCCTAAGCCCAGATCTCCGAACCTCATCAAGAAGCTCTATTGCAGACCCTCTAGGCAAACTTCTCGATTTCGCTCGAGCATTTATTAATGTATTGAAACTAACAAGATCAGGCTCTAACCCCTTCAATCTCATCAAGTCAATAAATTCTTGAACTTTACCAAAATTACCACTTCTAGCAAAAACACCCATCATAGCATTATATACCTGAACCGACGGCTCAGACTCCTCGACGCACCGGAAAAAGATATCCTCAGCAACGCAGTCCTGGTGGGCACGGCCGAGCACCGATATTACGGCCGCGAGCAATCTCGGGAATGGAGAATGCCGTTTCTTTCAGCGTCAGCCACTCGAAGACCTCAAGGGACCGCTGCCAGCTGGCAGCGCCGACCGACTTGACCACGCGGCATAATCAGATGGGTCATCTGCACGGCACGCGCATCAAGAACGCTCGGCGACGGCGGCCGACGGAAGGAGCGAGAGGATGCGGTCTGGTGACGAGCTTGACCCGCTGCGCCAGTCCTTGGCGCGCTTCAGGGCGAGCTTCGTCATCTTCTTGGCGCGGGTTCGGGTCTGTTTCGATTCGAGCGGTTCTAGGGTCTCGGGTTCGGGCTGAGGCTCCGGTCGGGGCTCGGGTTTGGGTTGGGGCTTGGCTGGGGGTGGGAATTCCTCGAGGGTTAGGTTGAATTGGGTGAAATCGAGATCGGGCCAGCGGACCGAGGGGATTGCTCGGTCGTAGGTGAATTCGACGGAATTGGAACGGTTTTCGGCGGAATTTGATGAGGCGCTGGGGATGAATAGAGGTTTTGAACAAGAGGAGGGGGCTGGAATTGGGAGGAATGGGCCTGCGAACGCCATTAGAGGCATCAAAAGATGTTAGGGTTAGGGTTTTTGAGGGGGAAAAGGAGGGATCTTTGTTGCGTGGAGGAGTGGGTGGGGGAGTGGGGAGTGGGGAGTGGAGAGTGGCGGGGGGGGGGGGGGGGGGGGGGGAA